TGAGAAAATGGAGTTTTGAAAGATTTACAATTATATGTGCCCTTAAAGCCTCCAAGTCAAGTTAGAATTTTAATATATCGAACGTGGGCTATTCTTAGTTCGATCCGTAAAAATTGTGAATGACCATACACACATTCTTTGCTTCTGATCTAGTTGGTGGAGCATGGTGAAACACCTTACTTGGTCTCTGTAGGGAATAGCAGAGTTGGATCCTCTGGATTCAGTGGACAGCACATCAGCAACTCTCGCCCGCTTATTGTTTGGAGCCTTTCTTATCATGGGAGTCATTCTTCTAGTTAATATGATGATAGCCCTACTGTCTAACACTTACCAGCGAGTTGAGGTAACATTGACCGCATTTGTTTGATCTATTGACAACACTCTTGTTGCTAAAGCCCTGGCCAACTATTCAGCAAAATTGGATCTCACCACCCAACATTGGTTTATTCAAACGCTAAGACAGGCATACAACGCAAACAATATGTGCTTCGACGAAGCAGGGCGTTGCTGGTTTATTGCAACTGAAAACGTAGCGCTAGTTCGAAACCAGCTCTTCGATGACGATTTTATAATGGTCACGCAAGGGTAGTATACTCATTCATACAGTTATATCTGTACAATACACTCTTGCTTTCAATATCTTGAGGGTTCGTGTTTCACTATGTTTTTTGGCACAGTAAGAATATATTTTTTGTTCATTATTTTTTTTCTCTCTCTCTGTACTCTACAGCTGAACGCCGCGGCGCTGTTTTTGTCAATCGTCGAATCATAGCAAAAATCTTCTTAAGTCGGTCAGCTGGTTATGAATACTTGGAGGTAGAAACAAGAGCAATATTTTGAGTGAATAATAATGGTTGTTATCTTGTGCTCTTTTGAGGATAACTCCCTGAAAGAATGGTCGTTCAAGAAAGCCATAACGATTCAGACCTACAGCACGTACCATCCAATACCGGTACCTCTTAACCTAATGTCAAGTGCATTTCTATGGATACGATGGTTGTGGTTCATTTGCAAGGGGCGTTGTAAAAGGCAACCTACGAAGAACACCTGGAGTAACTTAAGCTACGTAAGTCAATTTAATCGTTGTGTAAGACCAACTTATAAAATGACAAACTGTTTGCAAAAGTCTTTTCATCAAGGCAGCGTACCGGCTTAATAGCCGTGCCAGTTGAGGTTTAAGCACTAGCTATTTGATTTTAGACCTAGAAACCTTGAAAAAACTAAAAACCTGTTTTATTATTGTCCAGTTGGAATGGTAATTCGCTGATCGATAGTATAAAAGACAGAGTAACGAACAACACATATTTACTAAAAGAAAACGATAGAGATAGAAATGACTTCCCATGTGTGTAATGGTCTGCATGCGTTTTAGGGCCCTTATCCTAACACAACTAAAGAGACAATGCAAAAACACTAATTAACTTTAGTATATATGGAACACTTATATGCACTGTAAAATGTGATTTTGACCTGGAGATCAACGTTAATATAACCACTGTGACTTTAATCCATGATGTTATCAAACATTTTTCCTTTTCATCTTAAGCAGAACAAATCCCTGGATGCTGTTGTCGAAAATCTCCAATTTACATATTTTTCAAAATATGGATACTTCTTTCCTTTCACAGGTGAGGATAATTCTCAAGTAAAAAAATACCTTGTTTTCTGTCAGTCTGACACCAAAAGAATAGTGTTCATTTTACAATATTTTTCTTACTGTTGACTTTCTTAAAGCTTTGTTGAATTCCTGCTCGTTTATTCTTAAAATTTGTCGTAATACCCGGCAAACAAACTTTCATTGAAAATTTGCTTTTGGCATAAATTTATCACAAAGCGAAGGAAGAGCAAACGAAATATCCAGGCGTTTAGTCAAATAATAAACCTCTTTCTGGGCATTATTTTTTACTTGAAGCCGCGTTTATTTTCGAAAGCGCGGCAATGTTAGGGAAGAAATATTCATTTAGAAATAGTCCTGATCAGGGTCAGTGATTAACAAAATTCGAAGACCCGGCCGTAGCGATCGCGAGAGTTCGATTTGTTTAATCACAACTATGACAAATTTGTGATAGTTATTTTAAGCTTTTTTAAAATTGAAATGAAATATATTCCCAGAGTTTTTTGCTAAGAAGAAGTGAAAAAATAAAAACATTCAAGTGAGCGTTCGCTATGGCACGTACTGTCTAATTACTTAGGGGTCCTTAGGCAACGCGTACTGTCCTATTACCCTGTCTTATTATTAGTGAGTTTACGCAACAGAACGGCAGAAAGAAGAGGACCAATCAGGATAGTTGATAAACCAACTAGATTTGAGAATTTTGTTATAGCTATGATTAATGACAAAATAAAAATAAAATATGAATGTACTGAGAAACTGGTTCATGCATTTAAAACCAGCAGGTAAGACTATTGCAACAGTCTCCTCTATGGAGTTCCCGACCATCACGTGCAAAAACTCCAACGTGTCATGAATGCCAGTGCGCGATTCATCTTCTGCGCACCTAAACACTGTCATATTACGCCGCTCCTTAAACAACTTCACTGATTGCTTATCCGCCTATGTATCGAAATTAAAATCCTTTTGATCACCTTTAAAGTACTCCAGGGCTCAGCTCCTAAATATCTCATTGATTCAATTTCTGTTTTACCGCCATCCCGTTATGATTTGCGGCGAAATAACAAGGGAATTCTTCTGAGCACCCCAAAGCGTTTCACAAAAGTTACCATAGGGGATCGATCCTTCATGGCGGCAGCGCTACGGCTTTGGAACAGTCTTCCCGTAAGCATTAGATCTGCTTGCACCAAAAATGATTTTAAACAGAAACTTAAGACATTTTTATTCAGCAAGTCATTTTGTTAGTGCAATTGGTTTATATTTAGATTTTTATATAGTTTTTATGCAATTTACTTATCTTATAACCAACTGTAAATAGTATAGTTTTCGTCTTTGATTCCATAGTGATTGTATAGTTTTTAAACCTATACGAAAATAAATAACATTTTTCTTAAAGTTCCATCATTATTTGTTAAGGAGAGATTAATAGTGTTAATAGAAATCGGTTGAATCTTTCATTCTGAAAAACGGGAATAAAAAACATAACCAACACGCATATAAATAGGAACGGGCGACCTTAAATTTTAAATTTTTTTAGGTGCCTGTGAGGACAATTAAAAACTATTTCATCATTTAATTCTATCTTGTTTTTGTTTTGTTGTTGCTTTGACTAATTAGATGAAAGTAAAATGGACCACGTTCTCCAAGAAACGGAGAGAAATCGGCAAATGGCGAATCAAATTGCCCACGCGACATTTACCACGCATGGAGGTGTCCTTCCTACTGGCCCAAAGGTAAAAATACTACAGGATGTGAAACAGTCTTTGAAAAGGCGGGCATAGTCGTTATGGTTAGGCATAATTTAAGAGTTGTTAGTATTAGGCAAGCTCTTAAGAACAACGGAAAATAGTACGCATTAAAACTTAAAAATATTCATTTCGTTCACTCCGCTCACCCTTTTTCAACCGATTTATTAACAACAAAAAACACTGGTACATTAGGATGGTTAAATAGCTGGGAATAAGACTTTTTAATATGCGCGCTTAAGGTCTACAAAAACTATCAGTGGATTGCAGGAGCCGTAAGCGAGTGCGTCACTGATAACAACAACATAAGCTTTTTTTGCATGACCATGAAGGTATTACACTATTGCAAAAGCTACAACAGTACTCTAAGTTTAATTACTAATAAAACTTATTAATGTAAAACATTAAAACATTACAAAACATAAAAGTTCCCATTCATTCATTGATATTAATTTGTTTGAAGTCAGGTATTTCAGTTTCTATTTTGGAGAAAAATTCGTCTCTAATCTGAGAATATGCTTTACAATCCGGCTAGCAAGAAATGATTTTCATCTTAAATTTATTACTGTTGCAAAATTAACATATCCTTTCATTGCGAGGAATTTTTTCTAAGTTGATGACTACTTATTCTAATTTCAACTAATTCTTTCCTTGAGGGTTTTTTTCTTGTTAAAACTAGGTAAGGCGAGGGGCTATAGTCCTTTTGGTTGTACAATAAAAACTGAGTTTTTGTTATTGTTGAAGTGTCTGGCTCCAGGGACGGTTTATTGAGGCGCTACGCCTACATACCGTTTAACTAGAGTCATTCAATGAATTTTAAGAAAAGTGACAGTTTAGATCGCAGTAGTCATGAGATTAGAGTAAAAGCTATTATTTCCGCTATAATAAAGGACAATTGAAATTTTTAAGGCTTGTTTAATTATAGAATCTTCATCTTTACCTTTCAAATAGCTTATAAGTAATTTAGGCAATGTGGAATCTACTTGTTTTATTCGATGAACAGAAAGAAAGACACGAGAAACTTGCCTCTAAACGCTCGACTGTTCGAGGATTTGAGCCACTTCAGGGATTTTGCAAGTCAAAAACACTACTTTTCGTCTTGGCTTCTTTTTATCTTTTTTTTTTCGTAATTGTAAACAGTTTCTTCTCTTTATTTTTCCTAGGCCTTCACTTGCTCAAAGCAGAAGAGTCAAATGAACACTTTCAAAACTATGATTCTTTCGTAGCGATAGCAGCGTTAACCGTGCGCGTTTTGGAGATTTGCTCCTGTTTAAGCATTTGCTAGTCTCGTTTTCTCCTTTTTTCGTACCTGCAAACAATCCTACTGAACGTTTTTTCGAGGCCTTCACTTCCTTGTTCGGAGGAAAAATGATCAGCACAGTCGCTTAATGCGCGGCCACTTAGGTGTGACCTCAAATCCTTGTTTCGGCTTCTTTTCTTTCTGTGTAGCTTTAAGTAGCTTGAAATATCCGTTAAACAGAGCACTGGTGGAAAGAGGGGAGGCCCACCGCTGACCTCAGGTTCGTCAGTCTAATGTGTACTGTTGCGAGTTACTGACCTCCAATAAGGACCTTTAGTTTTTTACCTTTGTCAATCCAACTTGAGCTCGCAAACATTTTAAAAACATGGAACCATATAAGACAAAGAAAACAATTTGCCGTGACGCCATTCGTGTATCCGTGCCCTAGCAGGGCGCGTGGCATTCAGATAATTGTATATAAACTGTGAGACATTCTAGTCTTTTTGGATTATTACGATAGGCTTCGGACCCGACCAGCAACCCTTAGGGGTTAATTTCCAGTGTCGCGCAATTTTCACGTGCGTACGTGGGTAAAATTTACGTTCGCAGGTAAAACAGAGGCAATGCATGAAAGGTAGCTCGTAAGCGTAAAAGTTGAACCTCACTTAACTTCTAGACTTTCTAGCTTAAGCTCAATACTTTTTATCTTGCCTCTATTTTACTTACGTGGTTAAAATCTATTTACGTTAACGTACGTTGCCAAAATCACGTCAGTGAAAATTAACCTTTACTCCTTTAAAATCTGTCGGACGTTAGAGAAACTTCACAATATTAAAGAGATTGGGGGACGTAGAGCCCGGTGTAGTGGTCTATCTCTGCTAGCTTTGGTCGGCCTAGGGATTAACTTGAGACAAAAAGCGACCTACGGTCAGAAGTCAGGCTTTTTGCGGGTGCTAGCATGCGTAGCAGTCATTTCCTTTCCTCTTCAACAGAAGGGAAAAGCTAAATGTGGTTAAAGGAAAACGGAAACGACCGCTTGATCCGGTTAGCCGGGTGCTTAAACCCTCACTAAGAAATTCAGGGACAGGCATTCAGGACCCAGCGCATGCTCGGTAATTCAATGTTAGGTTAAGCTTACGTAGGAGAAGTTAACTACAGCATTAAGGTATAAAAACGTGTTTTACAGGCCTGGCAAAGCCAAGGAATAAGAGTGCAAGGATGCCTTTTAACTTGTGAAGGAAGTTTGTTTTGCTCCACCTGTAAAGACGATCCAGCCGAATACCACGGTGCGAGATACATCTTTCCTTTCTCTCCAGAGACTCCCCATTTTGAGGTGCGTTCCCTAATTAATACCAAGTCAGTAAAAGGCTTCTTTTCGTCAAAAATGAAACAGATAGGATGAAACCCCATGAATCCGACTACCGTTAGGCCAAGGAATCATTAACGACGTTTCCAGACTGAGATAATGACTGAGAAGTTTATCGTTTGGGCCAGAATAATGTGCTCGTACTAAAAAAAGTGGTAAGAAAGTACCGAGGGCTGCAAAATAGCGTAGAAACACTAACAAACCAGTGGCTAAGTTGAAGATATTAACTGTGTCCATCATATAGATTAATTTCAGCAGAGCTCACACGCAAATGGAAGTCTTTGATTTGATAAACAGCAACTGACCTACGATGAAACCCTGCGGTACAGCAAAATGAACTTGTGTAGTGGAAGATTCTACGCTACCGATACACCTTTCACTAAGAGTAGATTGAAACCACATGAATGATTTGATGACAAGCCCATATGCTTGTAATTCTTGCATTAAGATCAGGCCATTAACCAAGCCGAAAGCTTTGCAGTAAACAAATTAAGATCACAACACTCATGTGACCACTCTGCTTCTACTAACGAGGTGGTCGTAAGCCAAACACTAAAGTGTTTTTAAAAAGGGGCTGTGTCAGGGCTTTCTTGTTCATTTTGTTGATAATGCCAACTACGCGTCCTTGTTTGGTATGGAACTTGAGAAATTACTTGTGAATGACAGCGTCACAGCTTCGTGTGAACCAAATATGTCTTCCAAGCATTAAATCAAATCACTTTAAACGATACAAACAACAAAAATGAACTTCAAAAGGCTATTACGTCCAAAAAAAAATAATGAAAAATATTAAAAAACACACACACAATTGCCATTCGTTTCAGTCTTCCTCAAGTTTGTCAACCCGTGCCTCCTGTATTTACCATGTTATTTATACCTCTTTCTAACGACCTAACCGGTTAATTTAATGTTACACTCAATTGGTGGTAGTTCCCATCGATTGAATTTTGATAACTGTCATGACTCGTGTCAGCTCCTTTAATAGGTTTTTATCATTACTTAAAATAAAGGTCTTTACGTGGCCCTGAGGCTTAGGGGAATAATACAAAAGAACTGACCTATTCATCCTTGAACCTCAAAAGGCGAAACATTCCCTGAAGAAAGCGATTATTCCTATCATCATCATCATCATCATCATCATCATCATCATCATCATCATCATCATCATCATTATTATTATTATTATTATTATTATTGTTATTATCATTATTATCAGTAATTCATTCAAAATATTTTTCATTTTCTAACCGACTTAAATCTCTCGGATAATTTTTCATACCCAGCTGGCCTTGACCAAATTTTGAAAAAAATGTTCAATTATTGGATGGTTGGCGTCAATCGTCTTATAATATGAAAATTATTGGTCGCGTGGCGTCAAGCCAAGATAGCGGCACGGCGACTCAGCTGTTTACTGTACGGCTCAAGAGAAATTTGGCATCGATCTCAGTAACAGACCAATTTCGATATACTACTGAAAATTGGCACTTGGCTTCGAGGCCCCAGGGAATAAAACAAATTAAAAGAAATAACCTCAAGGTTCCGGGATGAATAATAATATATATCGTTTTTTTTTATTTCCTCAAGCATCTGAGCCGATTATCAATTTTAATATATCGAAATTGGTCAGTCTATTGAAAGTTCATAACGTAGCCCTATCCAATCATTGAGGTCTATCAAGCTTACAGTAACCAATTTAGCACTTTTTGAATAGGTTCTCATTCAAGAAACAGGAGGACGAAGAATCAGTGGTGTAGGCGTTGTTGGGAAGGATTATGGAAATCATGCCCTGCCAGGATGGTGCTATGGAACCGTGGGATATCACATTGATGATGGACGAATATTTGACGCAAATAATCCTACAAAAGGAATAGAGTATGAAGGCAAGGGAGTACAATTTTTTTTCTCCTCGATCTATAGAATTTAGTAGAGAAGAGACGTTAGTGATTTAAAAGCATCGCACTTTCGTAACGTAAATATGGGAAATCAATTTTTGGAAAAATGTTTTCTTAAACAAGATAAAGAGTAATTTTCAATGCATGTAAAGAGACAGCTCCTTTTAATGTCTTGTCTGCGATAACATGACTGAAAAGACGTCGATCATTTCCCCGCAATCGATCGCAAGGTTGAGAAAGCCTTGTATACACAGCCGACGCTAAATCATGTGGGGTGCGAGGTTATTGTATTTTCAGGGCATAAAAGGAGCCGCTTTTGACGTTTTCAGCCTTACTAGTATGCATAGCGCCGTAACAAGTGAACCTGATTTGCTGCGAGTTTCTTGGTAGCAGGGTGGTTCGAGCGACAAACGATGTACAGGATCGTGGGTTTTAATGTTGAAGTAGAGGAACGCATGAAATGACCATATTTGCCATCCTTCATTTGACAAAAATTGATAGATACTGAGTGCGCAAAGATTGGCCAGCTGATAATAGTTTCTGGCGGTTTAAATTGAATGTAAGAGCTAACAATGACTTGCAATTTGTCAGTGATATCAGTTCTTATGATATCTTTGTAGACGCCATGGCCTACAGAGGGGACTTGATTCGTTGCACAGTCAACTTTGATATGGCAAAAGATGGAAAAGTTCCAATCGTATTTTCTTTAAACGGAAGGCAGATTACTCAGAATGAGATAAAGATTGACTACATACCAAATGAGAAATCTCTGTACCCCTACATTGGCATAGGACACGAAGGAATCAGAGTACTGGCCATGGTATAAATTATCGACCTACACCTAATTGTACTACACTGTAAACTGTTAACCCTCGGACGTACATGCAAAAATCATACCCCCACCGTGGTACAAAGGGGGGTGGGATTGTGAGAACCCCTCCCTAGCGTTTTCGTTACTTTACGATATTTTGACAATTAACTTTCTACCCTTCACAGATAGCTTGTTATCTCCTTACACGATGACGTTGATATTGTGGGATAAATGTGGAAATGGGGCTACTGGGACCAGTGACGTAATCAAACATGGATTTTTCACTTTTTCTTCTATTTTTTTCCCGAACTTTTTAGCATGTGAAAGATGCCTTAATACATCAATTTGTTGGTTTACAACTACGTCTGGATTACAATATGGCTCTGAAAGCTTTTACAACCCATTTCCCACATTTATGAGCTAATTTTCACCAAATTCATAGCAAACCACAAAAATGTCTTAAAAGGACAAGTGCCCAGAATCAACTCGATAAAACTTACAAAAAAAAGATGGAGAAGGGGGTGGCATCCACCTCCTCCGTCCCTGGTATGTGCGAGGCAGTAATCCACAAACAGGCACTTTCATAATTAGTCACAAAAGGGGTACTATTTGTTTGTTTGTTTCTTTTTTTGTTTCTTGTTTTGCTTTGCTTCGTTATGTGTGGTTTTTTCATTTTTGCGTTTCATATGAAAAGGTCATTGGAATTAGGTAAATATTATTTCATAAGTTCAAAAGCAGTACTCCCGTTAAAGACAGCTATATACACAACTAAAACCTTGGGCCATTGTAGAGATCGATAAAGACGTTAACCAATCATGACTTAGCTTGAATTTCATACTGCATGTACTCCTATTACATTAATAGAGTGACTATCAATATGATAATAGTTATAAGTTATTAGCAAATCTGTCTATCTTCCTCAGCCGGATATTCTCACCAAAAGGAACATTATTATAAAGCAGAAATGCTGGAAGAAATATAGACCTCTTTTTAACGGTTATAATGTGCTTTAATACTTTCAACTGTGTTAGGAGGTTCGACTCGCTATGGTTAACGTAAAGCTGTTTCGAGCCCAAGTAGAACTTGATATAAGAACTTCTAAATTCGAAATTCTGAGAATTAACGGCTTACGAGGGTGGACATGCTCTTAACTTACTTTTGGTGCATAGATTTGCAGGAGGAAATCAGACATGCTGACTTGTATTGCTTTCGTCTTTTAGCTGCGCTCAAGGGAAAGGACATTTTATTCTTTTGATGATCGTCAAATCTCCTGCAAGGCCGAACTAGGACTTCAAATTGGCCTGGAAGCAATCAAGCTGTCTCTGAAAGACTTGGACCAGCTAAAAAGAACTGTTAATGAAAAACTTTTAACTCTAGATAAGGAGATCCTGGAAATCCATAGAGAGATAGATAAATCAGGTCAGGAATCAAAGAGGCTGAGACGGGACATCCATCGCGAATTTACAATGACAGAAAATTCAATAGCACCGGATTGGCGAATGAGATTTAAGCGACTTCATAGTCCAGTTTTACAGCGCAGAAATTTAGCATACTTGCGTGAACTGGACGAGAAAAGTTTCGAGCAAGAGTGCAAGACCATCGATGATGCACTTGATAAATTAAGAGAAACAACAGATGAACTCGGTGTTATTTCAAACGACGGTTTTGACGTCGCTTTTAAACGTCTGACAGAAATTAAGGAAGATTCTGCACTACACACCCAGGATCTTAGTGATATTAGAAGCATTGTGGAGAGTCGATTCATAAAGCTAAGGGAGCTAATACAAAGCAACCAGAAATAGTTATTAGAAAGAACTTAATGAAGTAATATTAGTAACTCTACAAGTAATCTTAGTCTAATAGATAAAATAATTAGCATCTAAACAAATGGCATCGCCGCAGAGAATTGTTACTGGATCGTGTCACTTTAACAGTAACCTAGCTGTCTGCCACAGAATTGATCTTGTTTCAAGCCAGTTCCTTCTAATAAAATTTTCGTCTCAGCGATTCATGTCTATAATAGAAAAGCATCTAAACAAGGGCCATTGGAGTCCTAACGAAAACTGGGGTCGCCACCAAGCATAGTTTAGAGTTGATTGAACTTCATTGCAAAAACTGAGACGCTGACTAGGCTATCGAAAAGGAAATAAATATAATGATACTTTCTTAGTCCTTGTTCGACTTCACTACAATTACGAATTGAAGCATTAAAATAAATAACAAAGGTTAGACACCAATCGTTCTTTATATGCATGTAAAATAATAATAAGCTAATAATAAACTGTTTCTTTAATCACCATTGAGGTTGAAAATCCTGAATTATAGGGATAAAATGCAAGCTTCAAAAATTTACACTATTTAACAATGCTATACATTTTATACTACTACTTTGAGCATTTACACACTGTACGCTTGATTGAAGGTAATAAAATTAAATGAGCCAGAACGCTTCGTACGGCACATGTTCCTGTTGTTACATGCCTTGGTACTACTGGTCGTCCTTGTCCTGAGGTTGTAGTCGTGAGTGTGACATCTGGTAGTAGGTAGTAAAAGGTGATTTTGGTGACTAATATTGTGTAACTTTTGTTTTTTTTCCATGCGTAACTGACTCCTCCACATTGCGAGGCTTGTACGTAGTTTGGGCCGAACAAACGGCGTCCGCGTAGCCAAAGGGATGGATATATAACAGACAGGGCCCTTCTCTGAACTGATTCAAGCTTATCGGAAAGGAATGTCCTGGCACACCTGAGCACCATATTCTAAACCAGGTCTTATGGTGGTTAAGTAGACTTTACAAGGTATTCCTTCTTTCCTTGATATTCGCAATGAGAATAGTCGCTTTGAGGCCTTCTTAAAAATATAATCGATGTGATAGTTCCACCTTAGATCGTTACTGATAGCACTCCGAGGAGTTGATAGATGAAGACGCGATCCACAAAGTTATTGCCATGAATTATGGGCGACAACACGAAGTTATGCTTATGCATTAAATTAACGGACATTTCTTCGCACTTTTCAGGGTTTAAACTCATATTGTGGTCACTAGAAAAATTGTTAATGCCATTAGCAACCAGATTGAGTAGGCTGCAACAGGTTCCTAGGAAGATTTCGAGGGCTGTGGTGTCATCAACAAATTTAATTGTCAATTTCCAATCCGTCAGTAGGTTGTTAGTCACTACCTTAAACAGGATAGCACCAAGTTTTGTCTCCCCGAGGGATGCCACCTTTCCAATCAGACAAAAAATTCCCGATTCTTACAGCCTACCTTCTATCGGTCAAAAATGCATTTATTCAGTTAACCAACACGGCATCAATATTAAATTAAAAGCTTCATAGTTCTTTTCCCTACTATCAGTTGTATTACATTTCCAACTGCAACTCTCCCATGGCATACTGTTTGAAATGTAACGATTGTTTTTTCATTAAATCCCCTGTAGAAGGGCGGCTTGTCCGTCCGAAATATCGGGAAACCTCAAGTCGCTTTTGTCTTTAGCGTCTTGTTACTGTGTTTAACAATGATGAATAACGGGTGAGACGAGAAACAAAGCACAAATTTTTGGTAGGTCGATATGCGTGATAAGCGATACGTTTGCGATGCAGGACATTAAAGTGAGGAATCCTCTCCAAGCTCGCTATCCTTCCTCTTATATGAGCCTGGTTGAACGAACTGCTTTCAAGGAATTTTGTGGGGTACATAAAAGTGGTCATAATTATACTTTGGAGATCGTTAGTCTATGAATTTATTATTGGAACTACCATAAATTTTTTTCTTTTTTTGAGGAGAAAACTTGTCAAAAAACGTATTAAATAAAAGATAAACAGAGAATACCAAGGATCATGATTTGCAGAAAATACCCATTTGACAATAGCCCCCCCCCCCTCCCAACCTCCCGCCCTTGCGTTTACAATTCTTAGGGTTTCATCCCCTACTTTTTACGAACAGTACGTGGATTCTTGAAAGTCTCACAGAATTTACATGTGCAAGGGTTGTGACGCGGGGCCTTCGGTTTATCGGCCTTATCCATTATGTTGGGTCTACGTGGGGTCGATGTAGGGTCGATGTAGGGTAGATGTAGTGTCGATGTGGGATCGATGTAGGGTCGATGTGGGGTCGGTGTAGGGTCGATAGGAGGTCGATGTATTTGTGGATGGAAAAATATATAGAACAAATAGGGAGGTGGAGGTGGAGGCGGGAAAAATAAAATTGTGGAGGAGGAGGGAAATAAAGATTGACGAGGGAAAATAGTAAACATTGTGAAGGAGGAGGATAAAAAAAGAATGAGGAGGAGGTGGGGAAAGACTAATATTGTGGAGAGGGAGGGAATTCAAGAATGAGGAGGGAAAATAATAAAATTGTGGAGGAAGGAATAAAAACATCAAGGAGGGAAAATGATAAAATTGTGGAGGAGGGAATAAAGAAATTGTAGAGGGAAATTAATAAAATTGTGGAGGAGGAGGAAAATAAAAATGAAAAGGGTAGGTAAAGCATTGTCTTTCGTGCTAAAAAGAGTTAGTTCGCCTTTGCCCTCATTAATATGCACGATTTGACCGCCAAAAATCAGTGAACCGGAACTAGGGCAATCACAGTAGCCTGCGAAAACATCCGTTTCTCCTCGCTCCTCGCCCCCGGGGACGTTTCGCGCGGAGGAACGTCTGCGACTCAGCGACAGAAATTCCATACTGATGACGCAAATCAATGTTTACTTAAAAAATCCGGTAGTCATGGGGTTCCAAATGTAAATTTATTCAATTTTAGGTTTCTCCTGGTCGATTTTGGTAAAGTATTGTGTTCATCTGCGAACAAGCTCCAGCAAAACTCAAATGCTTGTTCTAGAAAAGACTATATTCCACCAATATTGCCTGTTTGAGATATTGAGATATTGAGATTCATCGCGTTTACATGTGACCTTTGTGGCCTTCTGTCTTTTGTCTGTCATTCGTAAACAATAGCTAAAACAATGTAACTACTCCGTCGACCAATCAGGGCTTCTGACCGGATTCTGGACATATTGTACGTCATCAGTATGGAATTTTTGTCGCTGAGTCGCAGACGTTCCTCCGCGCGAAACGTCCCCAGCGGCGAAGAGCGTTGAGAAATGGATGTTTTCGCAGGCTACAATCACAGCAGCAGGAAATAGGGATTGCATAATTACGTTACGTCTCATTGATTTAGAGACAAGTTTAACTTCTCTTATTTTCTAACTAACCAAGCGAAAACGAAGACGTTTATCGACCTTAAAGTAACTAGAAAACCTAAACCAACTAAAAATAGCACACGACCTTATCTTAATGAGATTCCTGCGCATTTTACTCATGAAATAAGGACAAAAGGTTATGACGTCATCTTTGTTAACTTATTCCACTTCAAGTTAATGAGATTCCACTTCAAAAAAGTGGAGTAAAACATCCCTCGTATACTACTAATGTCACCGTGTGACTTGAAAGATATACTAAAATGTTGAAAAAAAAAAGAAAAAAAGAAAAGCATCGTGTAGGCGTCAGCAAAAGCAGCGATAGTCATTTAGAGGCAAATTGACGGGTTTTATTGCAACCTGTTTATTCTGTTATCAAAGGGTCACAATCGGCTTGAAACCATACAGCAAAGAACATCCTTTCACATTCGTAGGCTACAGAAACAATCGTTTTGGCCCGATACAAACCCGTATATTTCGAACGCTACTCAACAGTGCAGGATTGTCATATTTCGAGCTTAGTCCACCTGTGAAATGACTGGGCGGGACTGAGGTAAGCGTGTTCCTCGTGTTCGCCGCTTATTAAAACTGTAGCGTTTGCTTTATGTAACTATAAACCAAATGCCAAAGGTTACCTTTCCCGTTAGGTTAGTCTGCGTAGCAGGCGCCGGTTTCTTAAGGCAAAGGAAGAAATTTCTCGCACGCTCTTAAACAAGTAAACAAAACAATTGACTGGCGCATGTCACTCGGGCTACCGTTGAGTCTGCTGTCGGTTTCGTGCCGTTAGACGGTCTGGTTTCGAACACTTGTTTAGACAGTTGATGCAGCACTGTCACGTGATCAAATTGGGGGCGCAAAATGGGAAACCGGAACCTCTTTTCCTTTTCTCTCCTCGTGTGCGCACGAGTCCACTAAATTAAACTAGGTTAGGTGTCCGTGTTAGGTGGGTATCCGCGTTATAGAGCCCGGAGTAGTCAATCGATAAAAATCGGTAGCAATCAATCGGTGAAAATCGATAAACTAAATTACTGTGTCAAATCGATATTATCGATTTTTCATGATTTTAACGATTTATAACGGAAGTCGCCATTGTTGCTTTTTTGGCATGAGGTAGATAGTACAGCTGAGAAAACACTTTCACGACTAACAACCGATTAACAAACATGAAAATGAGAAATGTGGAAAATATTTAACACACAATTTTCTGTCTGAAACTCTTCGTTTTGAACAAAATAACAAAACGGTTCGGTTTTATAATTACATTCAGTTTTGTATAAGTAATCACATGATTTCGAGTGCAATTTTGAATAAATAAGCAGGAGTAAATTTTTCAAAGACTAACAAAAGTACCCGAGGCACACTTTGTGTTCTTTGAAAAATTTACAAGAGCTTGTTTATTCCAAATTGCACGAGAAAAATCATGTAATTACTTATTAACAATATACACAAAAAACCATAGCTACAATAACAAATTTTGACAGCGCGTGCGTTCTTAGTTCATTCAACTGATTGGCTGAAACAGACTACTACCTTTGTCAAATTCAAACTTTCTCAAAACCAACAGTTTCAAAATTTTTCAGCTAAGAACTTGGAAAAGTGCAAGGATTGATTTTATATGGTCACCAGCCTGTTAAAGATAACTCGGTTTACAATAATTAGCAAAAGTAAGTGTTTTTAAATTCATCTTCGAATATGAGAGCTAGGCGTTTACAAGAAGCGTTCACAAGAAGTATACTGCCGTTTTGAAATTCAGGAGAACGCTTCGGGCAGCCAAAGAGGAAAGACACTTGCTGACTTGTTAAACGACTGTTCATCGTTGTCTGTTCCTGAGACCCCATCATAGCTGGATTCAAGGAGAAATTTTTGAGATTTAAAACCCAAAAATGAAGGAGGGAATTTGTTTTCTTCCGACGCTGCCATCGATGGGTAAGTGGAGCCTCAGTTGTTTATTTGCTTTTTCTGCAAGAGTCATCGTCGCTTTTCTTCGTCGGCTTCATCGTAATCGTTAAGGAAATTTATACCTCTGTGGCCTGTGACATTGGCAATATGTTCTTAACTTACAATCTTTGCTTTCTTCAGCTTTCTGACCGTTGTTTTTCTTGCACCATGATTCGTAAGCTTTTTTCACGCTTTCTTTAAGGGTAGTACCAGGTGCGAATACCTTCATTATGTTATTTATGGTACTTTCGCCCATTGGTTTAGTTCGAACCAGATGTTTAAATTTACGGTTTCGTTTGCTACTGAGGTAGAAAAAAAAAGCATCGCATGGATGTTTTAATAGAGGTCTTCGCTCCACAAAAGACTCGAAGAGAGCAACCGGACACCTTTCTCCTCTAACAAATAACGTACGTGACTTGAAATCTCTGTTGTTTTCATGGAAAACTTGTATCCTTGTTCATTTAAATACCTGAAAAGTGTAGCTGTCATCATGGTTTGCGTGGGGTTGCCACTGTTTCTGTTCTTTATCTTTTTACTTTAGCGTAGTCTGTTATAAGTAGCTTGTTTTTTAGTTTCTCTGGCTCATTTTCTTCGATTTTGTTGACAGTATTTTTCTCTTAGCACCGCATTTTCAATACATTTAGCGAGAAGGACGCACTTTATACGGTGTTCGGGATTTTGGAATATTCTTTTAACTTTTCTATTTTCGTTTTGCGTACAAAATCAAATCGTCGTTTGCTGAAAACCATGGCCAGTTTCTCAAATTTTGTTGTTAAAAGAGCTCTAATCTGATTGGTTCTTGGTAATTTCTTTTGTGTTTTCAGCCAATCAGAAACCATTTGTAATTTGCACTCGTGTTACTAGTTTTGCACTCGTGCTACAGGTTTGCACTCGTGTTACAGAGGAACTGCACGCCTTTTCAACCAATCAAAATTGAGTAATTTGTTCGTGTATATTATTACACAGGAAAGTATCACGAGAAATACAACATTAGTAAAGATTTCCTAGCCTGAATTTCAGACATCCCCTCGAGTCGAAGGGATATCTGAAATTCATTCATAAATATCCCTTGATAGATTTTCACCGTTTTCGTTATCAATCGATAAAAATCACTTGATTGCGAACGATTTTTATCCATTTCAATATCTATCTATTGGTTACTCCGGGATGCAACTACACCCGGAACTACACGGGCGTTACTTTGAAAGGGCGGCAGATTTAAATTGTGAAAAACTGGGCGCCTACAAACCAGAAGAAGATTTTAAACCTGGTTTTGAAGAAAAGATAAGATTTTTCAGATTTTTTTTAATATTTAAAAAAAAAGTGATAGTTGTTTGATCCTTCGACTCTCTATTGCAACTCAATTGTCAACAAATTTACTGTTTGCATGAAATAAGTTTTAATTTTTCGGATGAACAGATATATCTTCCGAAATAAATCGATGAAATCGGTATATAAAAATTAAGGTAAATCGATAAACGAAACGAGTGTGTCATTGATTTCTACCGATTAATCGATCGATATCAATCAAACCGGATTTACCGGTTTTTATCGATTTCTCGATTGATAAATTGTTACCGATTTTTGTCGATTGGCTACTCCGGATATAGAGGTGTCCGTTCAGAGAGTGTTGATTGTAAAGTATTATTGTCTCAGTAGTTATTGTCGTTAACCGTAGAATGAGGGTTGATTAGACTTGGGCTTCCATTTAAATGCTTAATCGTCATTCATCCCCACACAATACATCAGATCAAACAAAATTAGTAAAGAACATGCAACGGAGAAACGACAAAAAATAGTTATTTAAACAAACACCCAGCTCTTATCATAACGATCAAATGGTCAATAAAGGACACATAGACAACCTTAGACGGAGAAGTGCAAAGTTTCGTCAGAATGGATGGACGACGTCCAACAATAGTGGAAAAAAATAATACATTTTGCTAAATCCAGTCCCTCAGCCAAGGGCAGTACGAATAAAAAATAGTTACAAAGATATTAATCAAAATCTCTCCTTCAAAGTCCTAATAGAAAGCAACGTTCCCACCATGATACTGTGACTGGAATTTTCCCAAATTCTTGCTTGACAAATCCACTTTTTAGGGTTCACTTGGCCTGTCTTTTTAACAAAATGGCCAGACTTTTTGACCCTATGAAAAGTTTTCGACTCTTGATCATCCAAGAAATGCGCTTTTGGAGGATCGTTTGAGTCGTAAATTAATAGAGTTTGAAAAACAAAAGCTTTTCAATATAGAGTAAGACTACTCAAAGGTGGGTTCTTATGGCACGGAAAAAAGTTCAGGAGTGTTTGGGAGAGCTTTAGTTACATGTAGAATAAATATTAAGGTTAAGTTTTTGTTTAACTTCATAAGAAAGATTATTCTGCCCGTGACTTATAGTGTATTTTGGTTGGGTGAAACTTTAAGATTTCGCTCTGTCTAACGATTCTTTATACCAAGTACAGAATTATCTTAAAGAATTCTCAGCTGAATTCTTTAAGTTGTACCCGCAATGACAATTTAATACGTAGCCTCCTGTTCATTCAGTGCTCTCTACGTTTCGTCTTATGAGAGCTCAGCTTGAAGGTTTTCCTAAATCTTATTAATGGGTTATACAAGAACAGACTGCTGTTCCTGTAGTTTTATTAAGTATAAAAAGCAAACGCAAATACTACTGCGTGTGTTATAAACCTTTGATATTACATTTTATCCTGTTGCTGGGCCTTTTCTATTGTCTGCTGAAAAGCGTTCAATATTTGGTAAAATTTTCTATCCATCATTCGTTCCAGCTGGACAATTTTCTCCTCTATTTCTCTTCGTTCAACCTTTGTCGGCTTCTGGATGTCCCTTTTTCCCACGTGTTTTGTTTGTACACTCTTCACAACCGTGGTCTTCGTTTCAACTGACGATCCGATAGTTTTTCGCTTCCGGTTGTCCATTTCACACAGGTCCTCTGTATCTTGTAGGCCCATATGATCTAAGGAACATTCGATCTCCGACGATGTTGTTGGCACAATGGTTTCCTGATCTATTTCTCTGTCAAAAGATGATTCCACGTTTTTTCGCCTCAGGTTGTCTCTTTCGCACAGGTCCTCAGTATCGTGTAGGCCCATCTGATCCAAGGAACATTCAACCACCGACGATGTTGAGACCTCGATGACTTCTTCGGCTTCGGTACCCTCATCCATTTCTCTGCTTAAAAGTCGAAAAGCATCATTCATTTGCTGAAAGGACAAGTAAAACTTGTTCTCTATTCCTTCCAAGGTGTCCAATATCGAGTCAAGCTCTTCACTCTGAAGTTGATCGCTATCTTTAAATTGAGGGATCCTCACGATTTTATCCACATCGTGACGAGAAGTCATCTAAATGAAAACAAACATAAACTTCTTTAATTATTGATTTTCAATACTATTATCTGCCTTCCCCGTATGGCGTTCCAGTGGCATAATAAACAACCTTTACAAGAGGTTAAATAGTGAGAATTCATTATTCCGTACAATTCAATATTTCAACAACATGAAAGCGGAAAAAACTCTTCTCTTTCCCCCCCAAAATGCTAAATTCAAACGCCAATTAAACCTTCATGCTCAAGGTTCATCTAAATGTTGTAGGACATCATTATTGTATGCAAAGAAAATTAAGACACGCTGCCTGAAGGTCAGAACCAGAGAAATACATGAAACCTGATGGGAAGTAGCCTTGCCTGGAAAGTAGTGTCAGTAAAACGTAAAATGAAGTGCATATGAAAATAACAAACCAGTGGCCCAAGTCCACTGGACTCAAGGCAGCAACATATGTCCTAATTATATCAACCTGTATGATTTGCCCATTAATGCAGATATGAAAGTATCTGCTAAAGGACCTGTATATCCTAGTCAAGAACAGACATGAGAAAAATAGTATACCCATAACGGTGGGTGTAATATCTGATAGAAAGACTTAAAAAACTGTCCAAATGCAAAGACCTGGAAACAGGGTAGCATCAATAGTGTAAATGAAAACGACAGGAATCCTTGTGGTCATAGGCGTTTAAGGGGTCATTAGGAAAGGCCGCTGATTCAGTGACATTTCAGAAATGTCAACCTGCAGGACATCTGAAGACTGAGACTTCTTGGAAAAGCGCTTACTTTAAGATAATGATAATGATAATGATAATGACAATGATAATGACAATGACAATGATAATGACAATGACAATGACAATGACAATGACAATGACAATGACAATGACAATGACAATGACAATGACAATGACAATGATAATGATAATGACAATGACAATGACAATGACAATGATAATGATAATGATAATGATAATAATAATTCTGCCCCTCTCCAAAAAATAATATAATTCTGGGAATGGCGTTTGACAATGTAGTGTAGGAGCAATGGTATTCCCGTGTGACTTTTTCAAGGGGGCCTAAGGAACATGTTTATTTTTGAAAGCGCTTTTGTATTGCTTGCAGAGGGTTTTTTAGTAGTCGTTAAAAGAAGACCTCTGCAATACCCCGCATGGAAACGAGGCTGACCAATAAAACGACTGAAAAATGGCCGTTTATTAGAATTTTGCAACAAAGTACAATCGGTTTCGAATTCTGGGGTGTCTTGCTAAATAAGTAGTTGATGGCGATACTTCTGCGTGATCACGTGTCCAGAAGTAGAGACTTAATACAATGTGGCCCTTAAAGAGTGCTAAAATTAATACATTTTCACAAAAACAAATTGAAAGTCATATTTTTCAACATATTTCGACTTCCTGAATTTTCTACTCGTCACTGCCAGAGTCCTCGTACTCAGCTTTTAGTGTATAATTATCTTCACAAGCATTTTCACAGAGACCATTATTGTCACAGCAAGAACAGAGGTAGGAGCCATTTAAGCCTAATTTTACGGCAGTGCAATCGTTTGTTTGAGCATCGGTTCTTTTGACAGCCGCACTTGACCAATTGAACGATTGCTTTAGTCATAATTGGAATACATTTATCCACCCTTTTCTTCACACCCCAATCCATCTGGTTGTGGCAAACTAGGACAACACATGTACACTTTATCATTGTTCCAGACTATCATTTGATAGTGGGAACCGCGAATTGCACTCTGTGTTCTTGAAAGTCTATCCGATTACGCCTGATTTTTTCTAAACATGTGCCATCTTAGTTACTTGACTTGCGAGATATCGGTTCCAGGCTGATAAAGCTGGCATATAAACTTCTCCACAAAAGCCAGTACCTCGTCTGGGATATGCACTGTGGCTCCAAGGTTTCCCAAAGCAGTTACGGTATCTTTTTCTGCGTCCATGAACGTTTTCCAGCATGAAAGTTTCCCTTTACTAGAAAAACGCCTGGTGATATCAGCCTCACTGAATGAGTGGAACGCTGGTAATGCTACAAGTTTAACACTGCCGAGGGCACTAGCCTCTAGCCAATCCCACGAAGGTTATCTCCGTACCAGCGACAAACCATGTCTTCACACGGATCCAGATAGCGTCTTACAGGCAGAACTAAAATATATGTGTCTGGAGAATGGATATGAAGCTCTGTTACACCGTTGACAGTTGCGTCCAGGTCATGTAGGAACATCTTGGTGTCTGCTTCTTCTTGATTACTTTGAAGATGGTTCACATTTTGATGAGTTGCACGACACGGGCATCCCCAAGCCACAAAAACTCTTAGATTTGTCTTCATAGCATGATCTAGGAACTTCTCTGCTAGGTAGCTAGATAGCCCGTTCTTGTTTTTTCTATGAGAAAGGAGTCTTTTCACTGGTTCCTGGGCGATGTGCGTGGAATTAATAATACGATAATACACGGGATCTTGACCAACCTGCCTCATGGTTACTCAGGTAGCTGTTTTCAGAGATATTGGCAAGTCTTATCTATCGAAAATCAGACAGACCTCATCACTGGACTTGTACTTATGGTTTGATTCTGGCAGAAAAGCACTCAGCCAATTGCCGACCATTCTTGATATCGTCCGGCTTACCAAGAGATTGAAGTTCTGTCGACTTGTGACGTCAACAACAGCAACTCGCAGTTGAGATGAGAGCTCAACTGAGGGTTCCATATTTTCTCTTTCATTCGCACTAATCTGAGGACCGGTGGTCGTTCCTTGCTCTGATTGGCCACCAAGCACTAAACTTTTCAAGAATTTTCATAACAGCGCTCTTTGCAGGACAATGAAGCGTTTTAACATCGGGTGCAAACAACGACCTCAGAACTGACAGAAAATTCGTACTGGCCAATCATTGAAAACACTCATTTCGTGCAACTATTGATTACCTTTAGTAACAAGAGTGCCGGTTCAAACAGTACTTTCTTTTGTTTTCGATAGTGAATACTCAGTTTCTTGTCTACTAGATGAATAATGGTGGCATCATCCTGTGTCTTCTTAATGCTTACTTGGTCTGATTCGTTAGCTTTTGGTGGTCGGTGAAATTCCACTTTAGGTACAGTCGAACCTCCACTAACGGCTACCTCTCTACAAAGGCCACTTTGTTTCGTCCCGGAGGGGAAAAATCCATACATTGGCTCATTACAACGGCCACTTTATTCTGTCCCCAAGGTGACCGTTGTAGAGAAGTTCAACTGTATCAAAATTTGCTGTTTTGATTGCATACGGTCTCATGGACATTGTTTGCTTCAAGAATACTCGCATGAATATGCTGCTTGTAAATCGGACACAGTCATTGTTTGGAGTAGTTCCCGGGTCAGGCTTGCACAGTACATTTGTGACATTATTCAGCCAACAGACCTTATGATACCTAATTCCAGAATCCTGTTCATTACTGGTGCGTACTTATGTACCCAGTTTCACTCGGAGCCGGTCGTTTCCAGAATTTTCAATTGCAGTACGTAAGAACTGGGTAATAGAAGGACTGGAAACAGTAAAAGAGCTTTCCCGCGAGACTCACTGCCCGTCACAAAAGAGCACTTTGATAAATAGTGATGTTTTAGATCTTGTTAGCCGCAGCGGTATTTCCTCTGGTGCCACTTTTGAAACCTTTTGTCTTGTTTCATGGGCCCAGCCCTAGCCAAATCTCTCTCGCACCGTTCTCTCGCTCTCCTGAGCATTCCCGTATAGACTGCGAGCGATTGCAATATATGTCTCTATGTATGGCGTCCTTATACCACTTGAACACACTCTCTGCCAAGATGCTCTTTTATCCTTAAGCTTTAAAGCTGTGAACGTTTTTAATTTTGACCTGCCCATTCTTGTATTCAAGTCAAAACTCTGTCGTGAGAAGTTGGGTTCTCCGGAAGTCGTTCATTTGCCTTAATTTGGACACAAATAATACAAAAACTTATCTTGGGGTCCTTGGTCTCTCAAGTAGCCGAAGAATTCGACATTTAGACTGGATAAAAGACATAAAACGGCATTATGTATACCAGATGTTCTGGCGACAACACACAACACCAAACCAGAAAACTGGAATGACGGTATTAGCACATGTAATAAAGAAAAAAAATAGCCTATATAACTATCATAGTTTAAAATGGAATTATAAAAGCAATCCAGTTTATACTCACTTTTTAAGCGCTGGGAAAAAAAAAACGAGGAATGTCTACATTTTTCAGTGCAGGACAAATTAGTTGTTTTCCCACATTGATATTCCAAGGAATTATTCTTTCTTCTGAAGCAACTGGCTTCTTTTGAACTAAAAATTCGGATTTTCAACTTTCACCAATGCACTACAAGTAGTTTAACATTCCTAGATATCTCAGGAAATATAACTATTAAACTGGCAGAAAAGAGCGTGATTAAACAGCAGTTGTATTAAGCTTTTTCCATACTCTAGCCTCGTCTTCATGTAAGGCGCAACGGGCAATTTTTCAGTGCCCCTTAAATACCCCCTGCACGAATTACAGAAGTGCCGACAACATTAAACATGTTCCTCAGGCCTCCCTTAACACTTCTACACTAGTCGCTTGGAATCATCACAAATATCCCACCGAACGTTTTTCAGCCACATATGCTCCCTGACTAATGAATCAGCAAACTCAAATTTCTTTTTGGATAAGCTTTGGCGGCCGCATAGCCGCTTTTAATCCTTTCAAATTAATATCAATTACAGCCCATAAAACGAGGCCCTACCCAGCAAAGGTGAGGGAAAAAATCCACATCTAATAGTCAATGGTTTAATGGTGGCGGGGAGGGAGAGGGTAAAGACAAGAAAAGTGACAATTATTTGCTTCTGCCGGTTATCTCGAGTCCGTCGAAAATCACGAGGGATAGATAAATCCTAGAGGGATCCCGGAATGTTCAATATAATGCACCCCCAAGGAAATACTCCAGCCAGCATATAATAGTTTGGTTTTAGAAGAAGAACAGAGAACTGACAGATGGTGTAAGATTATCGTCATTATTAATGCGGCAACCTTCGCTTATAGCAGGGTATTCGCAAAAGAAAGCGAGAAAACTGACTAATATCTGCAAAAAGAAGCAATGAAAAAGTGGTGGTGATACCTGTTGTGGTAGGAGCATCTTGAACGAACTCTAATCGCTTTGACAAAATGGAAGAGAAAAGAGCATGAAAAAGTGGTGGTGATACCTGTTGTGGTAGGAGCATCTTGATCGGACTCTAATCGCTTTGATGTGAAGTATATGAAATAATTCATTTTTGAACTGCGGTTGTTGTAATCGCTTTCACAAAATGGAAGAGAAAAGAGCATGTAACTTGGGAGGTTAAGGCTTTGCAAAGAGGAAAGTCGATGGGGTACAAAAACGCCAAAATGTCCTTGTTAAATCCGCTCAGATGCGATGTATATGGGCAAACATGGTTACTTTTCAGAAAGATAAAATGAAAATAATAATTAAAAAAACGCTAACCTTTGCCAGTACTCTTAATCCTGTGTGTCCCATACCAATGTAGGGATACAATTTCCCATTGTGAGTGTACTCCATTAATATCTCATCCTCAGTAATCTGCCTTCCGTTTAAATAAAACAAGATTGGGACTTTCCGATCTTTTGCCAACTCAAACTTGACTGTGCAGCCAATCAAGTCCCCTCTGTAGGCCATGGCGCCTGCAAAGAAAATTTGGAAAATAAGTTTAATTACTTGGCCAAACACTGGGCCTGATCGTATGTATTGTGCTCAAATTAATAAAAGTAAATGAACGCTGTCTAGTAAACCAAAGTGGAGGTGGAAAGTCTCTATTTTAATTTTGTCTGACTATTACAGAACCGTTTTCTCCGTTCTATCTCGAGGAAATGAAAAACTATTGAAGTCTCAGCGTTTCACGCGCCGTTAGTCAGGTAGGTTTTAAGCTCCACTTTGTGTATATGTGCGTGTGTTTTGTTTATATATCAGAGTTTTAGCGCTAAATAAGATATAGGAAGCAGTTTCTCGCGTTGCTAGGTGATTGCTCCTATTTTCCTTTCTGAGAGAAAAATCACCATCTAAAGGTGATGAACGGTTGTCCCGTTAGCAATGTTTCGTGTAGGGAGTTACGTTTTTCCTCCATAGATTCCAGCGTCGCATTCAATTTTGACTGCCCCTTCGCTTTTTGTTGAGCGACTGTTTGTATCATTCCTAACAATTTTGTCATTAATTCCTCGGTATTTGAACCGATTTGATTTACAGAAGAGCCCTTTGTCGAAGTGAGTCTTTCCGGGTTAGGTTTAGTGATTCCGTGAAGTCTTTGACTTTACGTGTGACTACTTGTTCGGCTTGTGTCTGTTGCAGCAGGAGCGCCATCTTGATTCGTCTTACTCCTCTTGCTAGATGTGTTCGTTCTTGTCTCCACATTCGGCTTTTCAGGGCCGATAATCAAAGGATTGCAGGTGATGGAAGGAGTTGTTTCGTATGTCATGAGTGATGCTTGGATAAATTGAATTTCCCTTCTCAAAATAACCGACTACCTCGTACGGTTTGCCAGTTGCTTATGAGGTGTGGGTCACGTGCTCAATCTCACGTGTAGTATCAATTGGTGCATGAGGTAAAATGTTGTCGGTGGGACTCGTGATTTTTTTGCAACCTCACTCTTGTGAGATGATCATTATTTAACAATTAGTTCATGCGTCAGCGTGCGTATGTCGAGATATTGAGCACGCGGGAAGTTTGGAGAGCATGAAAGAGGCGTAAGAGTTGCACGAGGCGCAGCCGAGTGCAACTCTAGCCTCTTGAGTGCTCTCCAAACTTCCCAAGTGCTCAATATCTCGACATACGCACAGCTGCAGCATGAACTAATTGTTTTATAACATTATCAAAGCGATCAATGCAGCAGTGAACTTAAAATTTTATCATTGTAGGGTGTGCTCAAAGCAGTACGCGTCAATGTTTACGTGACTAATTTTTTTTCCTCACAGTTAATCTTATGTTTTTATCCTGAAACTGAGAGAAAGATTGTAACATCCATATTTAGGTGCCGGAAAACTATTAATTTACCGAAAAAATGATATTGACAGAAAACAACTTTGCAAAGAATGATCTCACGCCATATCCCGCACAGCTCGCGGAGATGACAACAACAACAACAACACTCACCTCATTTCCTTGCTATCAGTTAACAAATTCAAACGTTTCCTCTTAAATTTCCTTAGAAAACACATGTAAACGCTTCATTGTCTATTGCTGAGTTATGGATGCACTCAGGAGACTCAGGATTGCGAGGCTCACAACAACTCGAGGAATTACGAATAGTTTATTGACGTCATCAGCGTGCTCAATAGGAATATGAAGCACGCTTGCGCTATTGAATTTGATTAGGCGAATTTTCTAGCTATGTTATAATAGATAGTTCTCCATTTCAAATCTCATTTGGAAAAATTTATGACATATGGAAGAAAGAAATTTCATTGGTCTTGTCATACAATAGAAGTTTTTGCGTAGAAATTCCCTGTAGTCTCTATAATTGACTCGAAAACTGAAAGGATTAGTTATGCTCCAAGTTAATTTTCTTCATCTCTTTTTCCTTACCTTCATACTCTCTTCCCTTTGTAGGGTTGTTTGCGTCAAATATCTTCCCTTCATCAATGTGATATCCCACGGTTCCCTTTAACCAACCCGGCAGGGCATGATTTCCATAATCTTCGCCAACAACACCCAATCCTAAAAGCCGTCTTCTTCCAGTTTCCTGAACAAGAACCTAGATGAATTGATGTAGCAATAAATGATTGGAATAAAATACTAATGCTTTTTGGGTGGTACATTCACCGCCACGTCAAATCTGACTTGTTGGTTAAATTTCACAAATGTTTCAACGCCGCTGGATTAAGAGTAAATCTTTTGCAAGTTGAAATAAAATGTTTCAGCTGCAATTTTTGTCAGTTAAAAGTAGTATTCACTCTTTTGAAAAAATAGTTCTCCTGGCTTACTTAAATACGACATACCTCAAAATGGGGCGAGTCTGGAGAAAAAGGAACCTTGTATCTTGCACCGTGATATTCAGCTGGATAGTTAATATCTTTGCATGTGCCGCAAAGTTTGCTCCCTTCACAAATTAAAAGATATCCTTGGATTCTAATTCCCTCTTTTTGCCAGGCCTGGAAGAAGCGTTTATTTATTAAAATCGGTCAACCCAAAACTACATTATTTACGAAATATTATTACGTACTTAATAATGTACATTGAAAAATTTCTTGAATCTGACTGGCAGAGAGCAAATAATGCAGTTTTATGTAAAAACGATGCAAAACGAGGAAACATAATGCACTGAAAAAAGGAAATAAAATGCAAATATCTCAGACGAAGGAGCACTATGATTGGCTAAAAAATAATATAAGAACCAATCAGGTGCTGAAATTTGCTGGCAGACACCTTGAAGTTTGGCCTCTAATAAAGAAGCCACAGCCGAAATTAAATCAGCATTTCTGCAATACATCAAAGGGTTATCCGAGCCACTTCATCTTGCCTACAACAGCACGGGCATACGATCAGCTTTCAAGTCTGACTCAAAACTTAGATCACACTTAGTACGACCTATAAGGTAAAGTGGAAGCCCGCCTTATAGCCACCTCGGTAATACGGTCATCTCGTTGAAACGGCCATCTTTTTTTGGCCGCCCGGCAAAACGACCATACATGTTCTTGTAAAAGAAAAAAAACCTCAAATTTCGATACTTTTGCAAAATCATAATTGGTCTTCAAGTCGTATGATTACCTATACAAAATTCTGTGTGGGATAAACTTTTGTGGTTTAGAGTTTTTTGCATAGTAAATGTGACTGGGCGTAAACTTGTGTGGTGAAAGTTTACAAAATCTGGGAAGAAAAGAAATTAGAGCAATCCAATTTCACAACGAAAAAACATCATGAAACTCATGTCCGTCATGAGATGGAAGCATACCTCTGGACCGGCGGGAAAAATGGAATCATTTACTCCACTTGCTGCAAATGTTTTGTAAGCTATCTGATTTACCATTTGCCTGTTTCGCTCAGTTTCTTGAAGAACGTAGTCCATTTTTCTTTCATCTTAATAACAAAGAACAAAAATAAAGGTGCTTAATTTACTGCCGCAAACATTACTTTTGAGCAAACAGAGTACCTGCATACTGCAAAGTATAAAGCAAAGGTAACTAGAGTGTAAAGCGACTGAACTTAATGATTGTTCAATATTGCGTAAATGGTAGCCGACTGAGAAGGTGGTTTGGAAGAAACTGGTGAGAATAAATCAACGAAGATGAGCATTAGTCAGGTTCTGTTGGCGGGAAGCTGTTGAGGATCATAGGTACTAAAACAACATTTTTACCTGTCAGAGGAAATGAGTAGCCATAACTGGAAAGGTACGCATTTTGCATTTTTTTCACAACTTCATTCAAAGGATTTTCTTTTTTCTCCAAGGAATTCTAAAAACAAACAAACCAGGAGTTCTGATATGAAAGATGCAGGTACTGAGGATGGAAGCACGGTTGAATCAAGAACATCGCGTTCGGGGATTGGTTTCTTAATGATGCGGTAAGCGATCCTTCTGTTGTTCAGAGAACCCAAGATAAATATATAAGCAAGTAAGGCTGACAAGGAAAGTGGGGAAAGCCTCAAAACGTATCAAGGATACAGTATAACATTTTACAGGCAAATTGGGTTAGCTAGTTCTGACTCAATATCACTTTTTTGTCCATCAGGCAATGAAGATGTTTTGGCAACCCCGCTGATCTAACGCTTTCCTTCTATGGTGACCTAGGGTACTACCATTTACGTGGAATAACCGGAGATTCCGGTTGGAAAAATTAAATGGTTTGCCCCATTCCGTTTGGGAAGCTTCAGATAAGAATGGACTGGGATTTGCGGCGATGTAATTTGACCACTCTGTTCTGACTCTATTCAGCTGATTTGGATAAAGTTCGTAGCGGGTTTTTCCACGACTATGTGAAATTTCGTAGTTTACCTACATGCACAACATTTTTACCAGGGTGGTTTGTATAAATGGTACAGTCCTTGTTAAAAGTTACTTACTCGACTACTGAAACTGTTATTATCCTGTTTTTTGTCGCAGCAGCGCCTCGAACAGAGAAGATACAACCGTTTTATCCACAGAAATGAATTGGATACAAGGTTGAGGGGCACAGGTATTGGATGATATGCCCTGTATGTTTGGATGGTAATGGCTTTCTTGAACGACCATTCTTTCATGGAGTTATCCTTAAAAAACAAGACGAAATGATTATCTTAATTAGCTGCCATTTTAAAGAAATCTTGAGCTCAAGAGAATAATTGTTAACGCATGACGGTAGATTTCACCATCAGCCCTTCCCGCAACATAGCAGAACAAGCTAAGAACAAGCAGCCATCCTACATTCATTCCAAGAAGGATATAAAACTTGAATTTACGCCAAATAACAAAAGGATGATTTACTTTTAAAGCAAATACCAAACGGTATAAAAAGGTAAATACTTTGATTGTATAAGTACATTCAGCTACTCCAGCTAGTTTATAGATACTCCGCACAAATAATCATATAGACAATCCAATTAGCTGAATTAGGACAAAATAGAACTCATATCTCATCTTAATTGGTTAGACTACAAGCAGTCTCTTTTTTCTTTGTCCGTCGAGTGAAACGCTCGAAACACGAAAATGAGTCCACGCGCATGGTGGAACTCACGAAACGGGAGGGGCGCAAAAAAAGTGGGGGCAACGATGTGCGCTGGCTATAGGAGCAGTTACTCTTTTTTCTTCTCGGGCTGCCGCCCTCGTTTCTCTCGTGAGCACTCCTCTTGCTAAATCTGAAGAAAAAGAGAGACTACTCGTAGTCTAATCTTGGTTAGAGGAGGAGTTGAAATCGAGACGCCGAGTTGAACAAGGACGGTAGAACTCCTTTAACTAGGAAAGATTAGTGATTGGGTATCTTTCAGACCTGATAATATCCGTCTCCGATTCAAGCTGAGACCATGTGCCCGGCATTTTCTATTTTGCTGCGTGCACTAGAAATATTCTTCTTTCGAAGACAAATGTGTGAGAAAATGTCTCAAAGATTTTAAAAGATGATCTTCGGTAGACCTTACCTTCACTCGTTGGTAAGTGTTAGACAGTAGGGCTATCATCATATTAACGAGAAGAATGACTCCCATTATAAGAAAAGCTGCAAAGAGGAAGTGCGCGATAGTGACTGATGCGCTGTCCACTGATTCTAAAGGGTCCAGCTCCGCTATTCCAAGAAAAGACCATGAAAGATGCTTCACCATGCTCCACCAACTGATGGATGATAACAAAAGAGTATCTTACAAAATGTTCATTTTTGGAGCCGAGTAACAAGCTCTCGGAGCCATCTTTGTACCTCTTTTTCTTAAGTGAATTCAGTCAATTCAGGATAATTATGTTGACACACCTACTTTAAGTAATAATTAAAACTAAGCAAGTTTACATGAAATGTAACATAAGTTTGTATATTTTGTAACATTGTATTGTAATAACTTAGTCCATCTTCTTGTGTCGTTGATATAGATTTTTCTTCCTTTTCGTTTCCTCTTCTTAATTTCATTCTAGTTACACATTACTATATGTGTTCCTCTGCCCACCTCGATTAGCCAAGCTATTTGCGAGCAGAGGATGTTTGTGTGTATATATTCGTTTAATTCAATTTTGATTTAATTTAATTTAATTTGTAATTTGTAACTTATGAAGAGTCAATAAATAAACAAATAAATCATAAAGCTCCAGAATTTCAACACCGCGGGCTTGAAATTGCAGCCCTATACAAAGACATCGTGATGGCCCAAGAAGCTTGTGAGAAATTAGTAAGGGGAACTTCTTTCTGACGATAATTTCAATATCCATAAATCGTTAGAAATTAAGAAGAATCAGGAGGTGGCTTATTTTTTTCCGAACAAACTTTAATTAAAGCTAAGAAAAAATGCGTTCATACGCCTTTACGAGGTTATTTCAATCAAACGCCCATGACAATAAAAACGAAAAAGTACATGAAACATAATAACAATAAAATAGCCTTTTTGACGTGTGTTGTAATATGCTACTGACAAAGGATCAAAAATTCACTTACCAAACTAACCCACTGGCCGTTTTGCAGGCACTATAATGAAAGAAAGATCTATAGTTTACCAAGCTTTCGTTTTCTCTCGTTTAAATGTTACCGAACAAAAGGGAAAGATCAAGTGTAACCATTCCATTTAAATGTATGCGGAGATAACATAGCTGTATAAAATTTGGCAGCTATTTCCTCCAGTAAGTCTTACTGTATTTGACCGTCAACACAAGTAGTCTCGTTAGTTCGATCGTCTATGAAACTTTTCATTCCGAAATAAACAGGGTTCGTGCGCATCTTGAAAACTCTTGAATTTTTGGGCCTTGAAAGTCCTTGAAATTCTGCTTCATTCGTTTTGGTCCTGGACAAATATTGAATTTTAACTGAGGAACGTTTACAATTCTCCAAAGAACTTTGGGAAATACCGGTTTAAGCCAACAACATAAAATCGGCGTTGAGGAAATGAAAGTAAGGTTTTGACTCACAAACAAATTTTCATACAAATGGTTACCTTTAAGAACAAAAGCCCATTATTATCCGAATATATTCATAGTTTATTTGGAATGCGTGTTAAAAGTAATAAATTATGTCTTTGAAATTTTAAATTGTAGTCCTTGAAAGTCCTTGAAAAGTCCTTGAATTTTATATGGGAACATGTGTACGAACCCTGAATTTATAATATAGCGATGTAAGAAACCGAATGAAACACGTAGAACACTAAAATTGGAAATTATAAACTGTTAAAGCTGGTTTCCATACAACATTAGGATCTCTAAAAAAGAAAGTTCTTTAAGTTCAAGTAATAGGGAAAACAACTCTTCAACAATTGCTGAGATGGCTGACAGTTCTATTTTGAAAGTTGGTTTTCATAAAGAGCCTAACGTTTAATAGTTAAGTCATAATCTGAAAACTCGTTTCCCACTGTTGGAGAGGAAGTGGCGAAAACTTAAGGTTATACTCTGAAAAAACAGCCGATATTTCGCGACGCCACCACTGATTACCTCGCGAAATGACTTCTGAGAAAGGAGCGCAGAAATTCTATATTGATGAGGTGTCACTACTACCTAGACCTGGTTAGTGCTTTTAATTGGATGAAGCAAATTTTCAACCAATCAAGCCCTACCCAGATGGCTGGATAGTGACAAGTTATTTTTTATAGAATTTCAGCTCTCGTTTCTCCGACGTCATTGTGCGGGCAAACCAGTGGTGTCGTCGCGAAAGTTTGGCTGTTTTCTCAGGCCATATGTAAAGGTTATTTCTCTTTGAAGACCACGTACTGTGTGATCCTCGTTATTACCGGTACCTAACAGTTGCAAAAAATAGCAAACAAAAGATGCGAAAAGGAACTCCTTCGCCTGCCCTTTCTTCTTTTCCCAACCAGAGATGTTAAACAAATTACTGTTCTCCTGCAAACCAAGAGAACTTTGCTTGCATTTTTATGGGGGCTGGGGAGAGTCTTGCTGGCAGATGTTTCATATTAAATGTGTGTAGTACTCACGATTCGGTGCCAGTGTTTTTAGAAATGAATGATCTTTCTGCCATAAACACTTTTGTGATAGCGATAGAAAACGCCAATATAGTTGCAGTAAACTGCCAGAAGATGGTCACCACGTCACCTATAATGTGAAACAAAGCGATCTGAATGTCGCCAATCCCCTTGATAGTTTCCAACACGTGGCCAAAAACTCGAAGCGTAAGGAACATGGTGTTAAGACCGTACAGATATCCAGCGATTACGAGAGCTCGATTGTCAGTGGTCGATTCAGACAAGGCCCACGTGACAACTCTTAGTGCAAAGGTCACCGTGTAGTTCAAAAGGGTGATGAAGTCCAAAATGTTCCATCGATCACTACAGGATTAAAATATAAGATAAGGATTTATTTTTGTTCACAGTTATTATTTCTTTTTACCTCTTTGTCAGTCCGTTTTTCATTCTTAAGATAAGCATCTTTAAAATTAAAGGACAATTCAACTACCGAATAGAGGTACCTACTTTAGCCATTGTTTTAGAGTTTGGAAATAGTAGCTACACTTGTAAATTACACTTGAAAAAATATTCTTAAATACACCATTTGATATCTAGCAGGACCTTTTTGTGACACTGGTCAGATTTAAAAAGTCGGACCAGGGTATGCGTTAATGATGAAAGTAGGGTTTGCTACCTGAAATATTTGTTGCATTTATGTCGAATAATGTCTACTTTTGTTGGCGTCGTTTCTTTTTCATTTTTCCCTTCTTCTCTCTTCTCTTCTTCCTCTTCTTTGCCTGAGATTTGAGTGAATCCCCTTCGATTCTTCTCTTTAGTCTTTTCGTCGGACTTTGACCCCTTACATTTCTTGGTTACAGGCGTCCACATCTGATGTTCTTTGACACCTAAGAACTGTCGACTCTCCATCAAGATCCTTCCCAAGAAGAATACCAATATCATCCACTCTAAACCGGTGAACGGGATGCTTGAGGTCTCAAGACAAAGAGCAAAATGCAAACCAAGCAGCACCAGGTAGCTGAGGGTATCTCGAATGAACACAAAATAGGGAGTTGTGAAGTACTCCTGGTAACTTTCTGCAAACACAGAAAGAGATGCTGAAATCATTGTTTTCTTCATTTAGTATCAGCTTAGTCATGACTTGACTGTAATAGTAAAATAGAGTGTAGCAACATCGACGCCGCTAGGCCGCCAAAAGAGGGAAAATTTTTATTCACGAGTTTGCCACGCTGTTGCTCCCCCCGGAGGAGGAATTGCTTGACCCACGTTTGGGTGTAGGAATGCAGCTGAGGTTTAAGCCTCTGAAGCTTTTTAGAATATAAATAACGTTAAATACCTACACCCTGTATGTCTGAAGGCCGTAAACAGATTTTTGACCCTTTTTGTCGTTCTCTGCTTGAAATCAGGGGATGGGAATCAGGGAAGGGAAAATCACATATCATTTTAGTATTTTTAGATAAAAAAAAAACAGCACACCCCAACCCGATTTCCCGGATTGCCTCTCCAGGTTAAAGGTGTACCCCTACATGTAACTGAACAGGTGTCTTGAGAATTATCTATTTCCATCAGACAACAAAAAAATAAATAAATAAAACCCAAAATAAGAAAAGTAATGAATGAATGAATGACGTTCGTTATTGATACTTACCGAACAAATCTTTTCCGTAAAGCTCTATCAAAAATAGAAAAAATAAGCAAAAAATTAAGAAAGTGAGAAAAAACAGAAGGTCTGCTTTAATATTTGGAATCAAAATCTAGAATATTGATAGAAAAGGTTATACTAACTGCAGTGTTATAGCTTCTTCTTACATTTCCGTGTTATTTAATAAGATAATTATGAGGAAAAACTTTTCTTTCCCTTTACACTGCAGGTTTTTTTTAATTAACGTATAATCTGTCAAAATTTCTACCGCGTGTCAAGAAAAAAGCAAAATGTTTTTAATTGGAAGCTTTGGAAGCTTCTGAGTTCCGAAAACATGTGTGGAAGCCAGGGTAAAGAATTCCGCCAGGTACTTTTGAAATTAGTGAATGACAAGATGTTGAATGTGGTTACTGAAGTATTTTAGCAAAAAAATAAAGTGGGGAGGTTTATTTAGCTGACAGAGATTTTGGATTTTCTTGACTTGAGTGTTGAAGTCACAAATGTAATAACTGGTGCTAATCAAGGGTCACGGATGTAATAAGGGGTAGATGGCAAGCGGAAGGGTTCAGTGCTTAAGAACGTGTTAAATTAGGTCCAGCTTAAATATCACAATACGGAAAGATTCGGAAAGGGTAAAAAATATCAAAACAAAATATCGAGAATTCTTCCCGACATTAACTATTTGTAAAAACAACCGATTTTCAGCTTGTTTTTAATTGTGAGAAGACACGTACCGTTAGCATAAATTTGGAGAGCAAGGTATAATGGCTCACATACCATGATGGCTAAGCCAATCAGAGCTCTAGAATTGCATTATCCATTGATGCAGCTTATAATAATTAAGATTATAGGTGCTATTTCAATGAAGGGGTATTTTTCCAAAGGCAATACCACTTGCAAAACTTGATTCCTATTAGTAGGCAAGGTGCATATGAAACGCGGATAAGACCCCTCCCGCCAGTTACCTCTTTCATAATTTGTTACACTAAACTAACACCTATTTTCTTGACGTAAATAACAACTGGATACTCTTGAATTTTGTAGCACATTTAAATAAATATAAACAACTAAACAATCAGACACTTTCTTAATCTGTGCGAGGACGCGTAATGATGGTAGCAAGATAAACAACAATTATGACCCACCCCTGATATGATATTGACGACTATTGTTACATTTGTGACCAGGAGCCAAAGTAATCCGCTCCTGTTTGTGACCAATTACTTGCTCCCAAGGCCCCCATTATCATTTTTGTAACGTGGCGCTTATATATTTGTGACTCTAATTACATTTGGCGCCAGTTATTACAATTGTGATCTCAGCCCTCTAGAAATACGTTTGTCGCAACATTTCGCTTAGCACTAAGGCCATAAATCGATGGAAAAAACTCGGTCCGTAATGTACAGTACTGACCGAGAACTCGGCTTGAGGTATGTAATCATTTTTTTACAGGGGATGAAAAACATGATAGAGCACTCAGTGGAAGTCGTGTTGCTAGGAAAACTTAATGCAGCTCAACGTCACAATCGATGACGTCTCTACCACTATCAACCAGAAATACATATGTAAAGCCGACCCGTGTTTCTACCTCGCAGTGCGATCCACGCACGTTCCACGATTTGCGAGGAATTATTATTCCAGAATTTTAAAAAAGCCACCAGGTCATCAGCGCACTTCATACAATTGCTATTTCAATATTTTTTGTCCATGCTTTTAGGCACGATGATTGTCAAATGACGTGGTTTTATTTTCCTTCCAGCAGAAATACTGGCGAACTTGATACTGAATAATTTGGGTTACTCGACTTTCACGACGTAGCATTTATCGACTTTAAGCTTACTCCTTGGCGTCTCTGACCTCCAAGTTGTATTATGCCAAATAACAACATACCGTGTGAGATACTCTTCCCCACGATTTCTCTATTTGTGTATTCTCCAAAGCGCATGACTTTGCGTTCGTCACTGTTGATTTCTTTTAATTCGCGGATGTCTATGTGAGAACCAATTCCCACTGATAAAATCGTTATTCCCTGGATCTCTTTGATTTTCTTGATTTCTTTCTCAACGAGCTCCTTGTTTTGTTTTAAGCAAACTTTGTGATCAGTAAACAACACCAAGACCTAAAAACAATTGTTGCAAACAACGATTAGTAATTTCAGCGGTATGTAAACGTTAAACGGCTGCTCAGACGCACTGGAAGACTCAGCACGGGTTACATATACAGTACATATGACAAAGTGAACTGAAAAGTTACAAGTTGTTAATGAAGAACTTCTTTTGAGTAACAACATTGCAGAGAGCTGCTCTGACTATGAGAAGTCTCTTACTTCAGTCTTAAAACTTAGCGGAGTGACTCGCGTAACACGCGAGTGGAGAACCGTGAGACGCAAGGAGCTTGGGAGCCCTCAGTCACACGTGTGGCTATTTTTCTTTTCGATCGGTTTTAGCTCGTCGGACTAAGAAAAAGGATGGCTGCTCGTAGTTTTACGTTAAGAAGACGCCTAGATGTGTTCATTGGGCTTCCGTTAGCGTCTGGGTAGTTTTACATGTCCTAGATAGATAAACGAGGAGATTAAAAGAATAGATAGCCGACATCTTGAACAACCTTGTTAATGAGTTGTCCCTTAAGGGAGAGCCTTACACTCGCCTCGGCAGTAAACGGCACCTGGGCGCGGCTGTTCGGTCGGCGCGGGCAGGGGCCTAATGACTATGCCATTCTGATGAACTCTAACAAGGGCGTAACAGTTGTCGCTGGCTGCCTCAGCCCGATGATAGGGTTGTGTTCGCCTTTAAGTTAAGGCTGTGTAGCGTGGCAATGCATTTATTAGGAACTAAATCACTGCTGACTCATTCCAGTCTCGACAACGACCCCCAAACTAATATAGTCACTACACAATTTCAGCGTCAACGCGAAAACACAAATCTTTGTAGGTCACCACGTAACTGAAGCCGTAACTTGCAGTAGTACTCTATTTCCTTCGTACTATGTGGAGTTCCTAGTTTTGGCGTCCGAGTCTTTTTACACTTATTCGCCATGAAATTTAGCCATTCGAATAGGGAATTAAAAGCCGGCCTTATGCTGGAAAATGAAATAGATACGTGCTTTATCAAAAAGGCAACGTCGCCTTAAGGAATTGATGATCCGGTTAAATGTTACATTTGTCATAAGTGTCAGTTCCGACGGAAACGATCGAGCAAAAGAATATTTAGACTGGTCACTGTTAGTCTAATACTTTGCACCACCGATGTATACATATTATTAGGGAGTTTAAAGAAGAGGACAGCGACAGTAACGGGAACGGCAAAACAGCAACTTTGCACGTGAATCAAGCTCCTTGTACATTCTTTGCCGTCACTGCACGACTACGACGAGAAAGTGCCTAATTTGACGTTTAGTGGATGACGTGAACACAAGACAGCAACTTTCGTTTTCTTTCACTGAACTTTGATACAGTCTTCCAGAATTCCACTCCCGAAATATGTGCCAACATTTGAAGAATAGAACGAGATGGAATAAGCGCAGGCCTTTGGTACAATATCTAGCTCCTACCTTTTCTGAGTTTGAGCCCCCACTCTGTTTGAAGGCTTGTTCCACTACCCTCAGATCATCATGAAGGGCAGGAATTTTAACCTTGGTATTCCTCGTTAAATGTCCCACGCCTTCTTGTAAACAAATCTCTCTCAGAGATGTATCTTCATCTCCATGTATGAAGATCTGAAACTTCACCTGGTAGTTTTTGTACTTGTGAAGCAAGTAATCTAAGGTGCATTTCATCAGGTCGAAGGCATCGTCTGCGGCATCAGAAGTTGCGTTTATAACAAAGGCAAGGTGCATCTCTGCAAATAATCATTATTTTCCTATAACTAAAGCACTTAAAAAATAAATGATAAAGATCTACGTAGTAGATGTTTGTCATGCGATCCTGTGGTGGTAATGAGTCTATCATGGTTTGATGATTAAAATTAAGAAGGGTGCTAACCAGCGTAGTCAGGTGACCTGATGCGGTCTTCATTTTGAAGGTATCTAAACGTCGAGAAACGTTTCGCTAGAGTAACCTTATTTTTGCATTATGGACCTGATCTGGAAACCAAAATAGTTTCAAAATCGTTTGTAGAGCACTAATCTAATACTATCTCAACTTAATTACTTGCCTTTACTTCGATGTACAACTATGTTGATTCGATGCTTGATATAGAACAAAGTGAAGAAGAATGGAAAGAAAATGATGTCAAATAAACACCAAATGTTGAGAAATATCCATGTCCACCATCCGACCTCCAGCCAGGAAGATCTCTTCATTTTACCGAATGTTCCGAACCATTTTTTCTTCATTAAGTTCTGCACAACTGGATGAGCGAAAAACTGCGATAAAAGTTTGCACACAAGAAAAAAGTTTTATGTTAATATTTGAAAATGTAATCAAGTTATATCTTGTTATCCCATCTAATTTATTTTGCAAGGGTTCATTTTGAACATGCCCATGCAAGTGAAAAAAGTGTCTCATCATAACTCAACCCAGTAGCAACATCAATAACTCAGAGCTAGTTTGAAAACTATTCTTCGATCCAGATACACCGAATATAACAAAAATCAAAAGTAAACCATCAGGATTGGACGGAGAACTCAAAAAATCATTGTTCACCGTGAGAAATCTCGTGATAAAAGCAACCATATCTACTTAGCTCAACTGCTCATGGTTATAGCACTAGAAAATTAAATCACCTTCTTTTGCTCCCGTTTGACACCAGCTTCTACAATACAATCCAGGGCCTCCCCGAAGATATAACGAGCCTCTTTGTCGGTCTTCAAAGGCTCAAGTAAGCAATTAGTAAACTCGTCCACTGAGTTTGCCAACTTGGTAAAGTTATCTTCGTCTTGTCCCTTTCGTTCTGCTAACCGTCGGAGCTCAAAATTTACCTGTGGCAGTAAAGGGGCCTTTGGGTTAGAAGGTTTCTAGTTGGTACGTCATGTTTTATTTGTGTTTGTTGTTTTTCAAGAACCAGACCTTTTTCGAAATACTTGATAGCTCAAAGTGATAGCTAAGGTCGTTGCTCTCGCTGTTCAACGTTTGATTTAATGATTACCAATGGGCTAGTAAGTTTTGAAAACAAGCAATAAGTTTTGACAAGCTTTAAACTTTATCCTCTCTTGGTTTTGAAAAGGTAGGATGTTACTTAAACGAGGGAATAGAGCTGGGAACGAGCACATGGAACGGGGAAAAGAAAAATGGGAGCAAAGTTTAAATTGAAGCCTTGCCCTATCAGTGAATTCATTTGCAATACCCTGCCTTGTTCCGATTTTTCATTTTCCCGTTCCACGTGCGCGTTCCCCCTCCCCGTTCCCCGTTTTAGTAGCATCCGAAAACCTAAAAAATATTTTAAACTGGTGTTTCTGTTGGTGCCATTTGTGAACATATATATATATATTTTTTTTCAACTATTAAGCTCTCTATTTTGAGTAATGTGCAAAGATAGGTACATTTAGCTAATTATTTTACCATCCTTGCCTACTCATATCTGATATACCGCGGTCCTTCAACGTCCTGCTAGGATCAGCAATGTCAAAAGAGTCAGGGGCACCCAACGACTGCTTCCGGTAAAATGTCTATTCGGAGAAGCAAATATTGCCTAGAATTTTCTATAAGAACTAAAAATTCCTATAAGAACGTTCCATTCATGTACAATTTTCGAAGCTTATTTAATAAATTCCTAATGATTTTCTGAAATTTGATTTTTCATATTTTACCACCCAGGCTAAACTATTTTTCTCACGAAAAGGAAATCTAAAATTTGAATTCTGAAATGTGATGGAGAGAGTAGTCAGAAAAATTCTCTCTTTCGTAGAACGTTACATTGCACCTAAAATTTTCGGAAAAATAATACTGAAGTCCTTGTAATAAAAATTATGTAGCGCCGCTTAGAATGCATTTCCAGTAGATATCGAAAAGTACTCTGAATGGCCTAAAAAAGTGTTTTTATCGTTTTTTGGAGGGAACCGTTGTTAGATGCCCCTGAAGTGTACCTTTCGGTGATAAATGAAGAAAGACGGCAAATGAGAGAATCTAATTTCAATCAGAGAGATGCAATAATCGCCACGTCACGGTCGAGTAACACTGAAGAACAACTAGTAAGCTTTCATACCAAATCCTCTCTAGAAATATTAATCATACGAAAGCAACTACATCACAAAACGTCGATCAGGAGGGAAAAATTTTCTCGAACAAAGAAAAAACAAACGAATATTTCTTTTTTTCATGACCTACCTCCATTGCCATAAGTAACGCATTGGTGTCGCATTTTGTAAGAGCCCGCGGTGATAACAAGTCAGTGATATCATCAATATCGCCTTTCCTTAAAGTCCTTCTCAGTTTACGTTCAAAATCTAGTGACAAAAAGTTAAGGATGAGCAATTTTTTTCAACCAAGGTTGTGCCTCAGAGAAAAATCCAGTGTCACATTCGTTCATCTCATTTGATCATGACTCGCTTCTCTGTATAGAATTACGCAGACCCTTCCATAAGTATTCAAAAGAAAATAAAAAATAAGTAAGGAGTATAAAGCATCTTACAATAAGAAGTCAATTATAGAGGACTTTAAAAGATACAGAGCTTGGATTACCTTAAAACCTGGCTTCTTGACATTCTACAACTATAAGACGGCTCTTTTTCCGTATGAATATCATGGTAAATTTCAACTGCTCTGTACTGTATTATAATGATCCCATTTATACTTTTTTTCTCTGAGACTACTGGCAGCCCATATTTTCTCTTATATCCGACAAGTTCTTATTCCAGTGTGATCCCGCTTAGGGCGTGCTATCCAGACAAATTTTGAAATGAAATTCAAGAGGCAGCCAAGGAAAATCGTCGAAAGCGTAAATGCCTGAGGTTTCTGAAACTGTTGATCTTACTGAACTGGCTATTGCGATCCGTCGGGGGTACTACTCCGGTCAATTTTGGATAAGCGTGTGCCGCTATAAGGTCGCCAGCATTGACCAAGTATATATAGTAGCTAGCCAAGCTTCCACTTATATACAATTAATAGAGCAACTAATAAACTCTAAGCCACTAAAAAGAAACCCTTACTTAATTTTAGGAGCCTTCGATTGCAGTTTACCTTTAGAAGGAGGACTTGGGTGATTAAGAAAAAATACCCCGCAAACACACCGAAAGTGAAAGAAGCTCTCCCAGAGAGCTAAAAGTCGCATGTTTTCACAATGCATCAATTTCGATCACAGTAGTAGAATTCTTCCAAACTACAGCATCGAACCCCCAACGCACCCTTTTTGAAGACATAGGACTCTTCAGTAGCAGCAATTTACAGGTTACGATTTATAGGGTCTGTATGTCTGTCTTGAGGGAAGACCTAAGGCTGACGTTTGTGTTCCCGTAAGCTTCTTACGTGTTTTCTTATGGGGCCTGGACAAACAGTTATGTGCCTACATTTATACCTCACAGTATCTGACACAAAATTTCACAATAAGGTACTGTTTGTTGATGACAGACCCAGGCCTAGACCTTCTTCAACTTTTTTCGTTATTAATAACTATAATACTTTAACCTACACAGAAAAGAAAGAAAATTAAAGAAAATCTTCGCACATCCAGATTTCTTTGTTAAGGAGTTACTGAAAGGAGATAAGTGCTTTTCCTGTCTACGATATATGCTTTAATAAAATTATTCTCGATAAATAAAATTGTGTTAAGATAAAAGCGTTGGGCAAATTGATAATGGCTTGCAAAGCGGTTTTGTTAAACACTGGCTAAACTCCGTTTGAATAACCGACCCAAAAGTTTTGACGATGCACAATGGACTTTAATATGGCATTGAATTCTATACAGTTGAATCGTTTTGTTAGTATGTTAGCCAGGTAGCATAGGTTAATTAAAGTGGCTTACGGTAGGTCCTGTGCTTTAGGCATGGGCTATGTAGGGATCACAATGCCAAAAAGGATACTTTGTTAAAGGGCCTCGAAATTTAACCCGTCACGCGCCACGTTCATTGATACGAAGCTTAAATATGGGAGTCCAACACCCACTCCGTTTAATAAGTTCAACATTCCAACAGCACTAACCTTTCCTTTCCTTTACATCGTCTTCTTTATTTCTATTCGAATTATCACCATTCATTCTTTCCAACTCTATCTCTTCACCTTGCTGTGTCATCATTTACTGTTTACGTCTATCATAAACAACATGAATTTTTGCGAGTTAGAAATATATGGTGTCAAAATATCGAAAAATAGTTATTCTATACATGCATATATTGCTAAAAAGAAAGGTAAAAATAAAGATAACTTGACAGTGAAAGTAAAGTTAGTCCGTGAGACTGCTCTCGGTACCAATCATGGTCAAGCCTCACGATAATGAAATATTAAAATATTCATTTGGTGATCGGCAGTTTTTCAAACAAATGATTTCTCATAGTTCTCGCTGCTCTAACCGTGGCGAGTGGTATATGTGATCTCTGGTGTACAGTTGGGTAGAGACAATGCAAGAAAAGACAGAAAAGGGGTGGTGTGACTCGTTAGCATGCACACCAACTCTTTTCTGTCTTTTCTTGTATTGTCTCTATCCAACAGTACAAAAAGAAAGAAAACCTTCCAAAGAATATTTAGTTACAATTCAGGCTGTAAAAAGAAAGTTTTGAAAGACTTTCTTGCCTCGAGTTCATCTCTGAAAACAAGCAAACACCATGAAGCCGGCTTAAGACATAAACTTATTACAAACTTTAAGCTTGAAGACTCAGGATTTTTAGAGACACTTTAATACTTGTCTTCGTGAATAAAAATTGTTGTCTGTATATGTTTCACCGAATTATAGTTCTTTTATTGATAGTTAGTAGTCTCTTTTGTAATTTTAATCGCTGTGCCGTTTGTTTTCAGTCGTTTAGTGAACATTGCTTGCAGGAGTACTCAAAACGCCGCGCGTATCAAACGCTTTTGAAGATTACACATCGATATGAAAAACTAGTAATAGTTGACACTACAGCTACCCTCGTTCTGTATATTGTCGGTCAATAGTATTGTTGCTGATTGTGTAGCTCTTTGAAATATACCGATTCATAATGAAGATTTTCACACATATTCCATACAGTAGGTGAGATAAATAGGGTAAATACAGGAAAAGCAAGGTTCCATGCACAGTTTCAGCTCGATTTACACAGCTTTGATCAAAACATGCTCAGTTTCGAGAATAGTTTATTCTAAACCATAAGACAAGATTTAATTAGAAGTTGAATTTTTCGCTATTTCGCTTTCCCTTTTTACATTCAGTTCATTTTATTTGCCGGAAAGTAAGCCTTAGAAATTAAAACGACGTTTGATCGATTCACGCTAGCGCATTCTAGTCTTATTTGAAACTTTATAACGGAAGGACATCTGTGAGCAGGGAATAAGTCACCACAGAATTTGATTGTCAGCCAATTTCTGTAAATGTCCATCAATCTGCTAGTGATGAGCTAGCCGTTGTTCACTCGTCTTGTTTGTTTGGGGCTGAGTCTTATTCCGGTCAAAGAGAGAGAAAGATTGTCTGGCGAGCTTTCCAATATAAATGAAAGATTTTTGAACTCTTGTCTGGCAAACTCTCCAAGTGTTTAATATACATCTACACAGTTAAACGCACCTTATAACCTCCCCTGAGCTTAACGAGTGTCTTTTGGTCCATAACTTTCAAAACAACTGCTCCACAGAATGTCACTGCGTAATGCAAAAGAGTATCGAAGTATGACTGCACAATAAATGTCACAAAATCTACCTGAGCGGTCCCTTCGGGATTTTATGTCTTTACGTCATCCTAACCATTCTGTACTTGCGGGCGCAAACAATAGAAACGTCATCATTACCTACCGATTCCTCGCGGCCTCAGTTCGAGCAAATCGAGATTTTTTCTAGTTGCCCCCTCAGGGATTTCGCCTCCGGGCGAAATCCCTGCGGGGGCAATAAACGTAATAAATTCTTTATTATGTTGGAGCGTAACTCTATTATTGCTGGCCGTATAGGTGATTTTGGAAATTTTTTAAACAGCTTAGCTAAAAGCCCACGCGTGCTTCGATCCTCCTGAATAGCGAATGAGTACAATTTGAAATACTGCATTCTGTCCGAGGTCTGTATGATAAAAACAGTGCCTCGTAGTACTGTTTCACCTCAGATGTGATGTATAAATTGTATAAAAGGTTAGTTTACACGTACCCAGATTTAGTGGCAAGATTTTGTAAAGTAATCTTTTTTCCGGGTGATCAAATCAAGAGCCATTATGGCTCTTAAATGTGATCGATTTTTTGGGTGTACATATCATGAGGCTATCAACTCGATGTAAGATTTGGTTAACTCTTCGGCTGTTTGCAAATTTTTTTTCTCTAAAATCACTTTAATAGCGTTTCCCACTTAGCCTTTCCCTCGAAAGTCACTTGAATGTGCTCTAAAGTTAACTGAATTGTGGAATACAAGTTATGAATTTATTAATGGGAGCTTCGCTTTTAGCCCTGGTTAAATCTGTTCTGACTACTCAATCAGCGAATATCCTGCACCATTCACTCTGATTCACCTCCAGTTCCACCGAGTGAGCGACGCCAAATTCTCGTAAGTTGCGAGCAAAATGACTTCCCGGTTTGCTGCCGTAACAAAAAAAGAAATTTCGCAACTAATCAAGCAAGCTGTTCCCGAAATACACGAAGAAGGTGACGAAGTTCGGTTTGGAAGTTTTAACAGGTAAAGCTTTGTCTTTTTTACTTGAATTAATCGGTAAAACCGATGAAAAAGTTTTTTGTTTACAAATACAAATTTAAGGTCTCGGTAAATGAAAATTTTAGTACATTGCTCGATTTTTTTTTTTTTTTGGATTTTTGGCATGAGTGGGTCCTAAATGTTATTTTGGCAGAAAAAGAAAATCAGAAAGTGGTTTTTAACTCTTCTAAAATGAGCCTTCTCTGTTTCCCGCCGTTAGTTGCGCGCGAAAAGTGATTGACAGCCCCTGTCTATTGCGTGACACTCACTCTATTTTAGAGGCAAAAATCAAAATTCTCCGACCTCCAGTCGGGACAGGTTTTAAGCTATCGCTTTGAAACTTTCAGATATGATGGATAATGATATAGACTCAAAAAACGTGTGAGGAATTTTCCGATTTCCCTTTGTAACTCATTTTATGTCAGTTTCTTTACGTAAATCGCGCTCGAGATTCGACTTTTTAGTTTGAAATGCAATAATTCCGCTAATACGAGACATACGCAAATTTCCTCACAACCTTTTTTAGGTCTTTTATCTGTCAATCAGATGCAATAAAAAGGAAGTGGATATTTAACAACGCGAAAGGGCAGGAGCTTCAGCAGTAGACTCGATACCTCTGAGTTCGAGAACAAAAAACTTAAGCGCCTTTTGAAATTCGATGAAATAAAATCTTTTATAAGGTAATTTAGTCTTTTAGCTGTAATTTGATATATAACTTTACTTTGTAGCGAAAATACTCGCGCGACTAGAATTTTTTTCTGTGGGCACCTCGTTTTCCTTTACCGAGACCTTAAGCTCGTCTAGCGTTACTTTACTCAGTTGACGTGTTCATAAATAAGCTTAAAGCTAGATTTAATAATCTTTGTAACAGAATGATTTTAAATACAAAAAGAATTCACAACTCTTTTTGAAGAAATTTCCCCACAAGAGCTAAACAAATGCCTTAAAAAGTTTTATTTGTCGGCAAGAAAAAGCGACGACCGCGGCCGTTCGGTCATTGCGCGCCAAAATTGTAATCGTTGGCAACAGTAAATGGGTTTAAAAACATCATTTTTGTGCTCAATTATCTCACTGTTTTAGAATATACTAAAACAATTATTCACCTCAGTGTCGGTGGGTAGTGGTGGTGGATATTTACCTCGCCGCTTCGTGTCCTCGGTAAAATACACAAGCCACCTCCATTTCGGTGAACAATTGTTACATTTTATTGTCCATAATTAATGCTATGATATTTTCATTCATTTTGTCTTTAGTAGGACATTTGTCTCTATCCAACAGCACACCAGACATCACCTATACCACTCGCCACGGTTAGAGTATCGAGAACTATGAGCTTTGTTGTGACAAGATTTCTGCTTGGTATTAGCAAACACTCAGTCGGACAACCTTAAATACTATTTTCCGTCTCTGGAGCCGGTAGGGTACTTCAATCCCGTCATCTCGACCCAATGCAATGAACTTGAATGTAATCCCGTAATACCGATGGTTGTTTTTGTCATCCCGCCGGCTTCCTTTACATACTTTCAATCTCGAATCTCACCCCCAATTGTCTTTAAATTCCTGAATCCTCGTCTTCATTGCCTTGGGTCGGGATGACGGGATTGAGGTACCCTACCGGCTCCAGAGAGCTCGTCGAATAATGCGTAAAAGATTTACTCCACCTTAAAACTGTTCTTGTCAAAGTACAGAGTGTGGCAGAAAAATGGATTTCTCAGAGCCTCATATCGTTCCCGGTGTCTTTCTTAGGAATGAGGTTGGCTAATTCAAAGTAACCTTTGTGAATTGCTCCAAATTCATTCATTCATTCATTCATTCATTCATTCATTCATTTATTCTTTATTTTCCATTATACAAAATTTTATAATGCAAGGTTGGAAAAACGAGATTAACGAAAAGTAAATGGCGAGGAGACCTGAAAGAAACCACGAGGCTTATAATGAGTCAGGTCTCCTTAACTTAGGATAAACTAGTCTTGATAATATAATTACAATATGGGCTTATGATGGCTAGCTTTGATCGTGGACTCACACACGAAAACACACACACACACACACACACACGCACACACACACACATACACACATATGTACACCCAAAAATCTCAAATGAAGCTGGCTTCGGGCACAGGCAACCCAGGATGGTCACGTCTGCTGCGAAGCCAGTGGAGGCTTTGCAGCAATTATATGCTATCATCTCATTAAAAACCTTTTGTCCATGACGCCCAGTATGGTCGATCGTGCGAAACAAAAAACAAGGTGCTTGCTTTGGTTTTGTCTTTAATATGCGTGTCAGCCGGGCACCTTTATTGTCTTCATGAGAATGACGGAAAGGCATTTTCCATTTCCAATAAATCGGATACCTTATTAGCAAGCAACATGGAGGGCTGAGTTTCCGTGACACAGTTCGTAATGGTTCATTGCAGTTAGGTAAAATGCAAATTTC